CTGCCTTCTTCCGTCCAATAATTAAGAAGACGGCTTTAAAGTTAAAATTGCAACTAAACTTGAAGACACTAGACGTCTTGAACCATTCAGTCAAAATAATTCCTAATAAGAAGAAAATTGTGGCAGGCTTCAAAGGAAATACTTCCTTAATAAAATACCACATGATTATCCATTAAAGATTTGATAGACCTACCAATACAGTAGATTATCTACATCTTGTGTTCAAAGACCTGCTTGCTTCTCGAGAAACTCGCGATTGAATTCAAAGGAGTAGGTAGACGAGGCGGTGAACGAGAATAAAAGAGAAACGGAATTATATGAATAGAAGAGTGAAGTTGTCTGAGCTGTTAAAACGAGAAAAAAGCGAAAAGTAAAGAGGCTACAAAACTATGATGTTCAGGCCATGACATGAAGTTTCGATCCACGCACTCACACCATCTCAGAAGCAAAACAATTTTTGGTAAACAGGTTTACGAAAAAGTGATTTTAAATCACAGAGAACTAAAAGCAAGGTTCCAAAAATAAAATGAATCAGTAACGATAAAACGTGCTTATCACGGGTGCAAGATAATAATATTTTTGATAAATCGTATACTGTGTGAAACTGTCCTTTTAAAAAGGGTTCCCCGCAAAAAAAAGCAGTTGATAATAGTATCATAGACTGTCTGGAGAAGGTGCGATAGAAATAACAAGAAGAGCCTCAACGAAATCCATTTTACAGCAAAACTAAACACCATTAATTTTAGAATAGGCGGCGCGAAAATCGGATACACATGGCAAAAAAGTATTCACTTGAAAGTGCTACAAAGATCTGCGTAAACTTTTGCGCGCAATAATCAACACACGGCCAAAAACTTGTTTATGTAAGAAGATGACAGTCGTGATGATGAGGACACCGAGCAATGTCCACTCAATGTTGAGTAGATGTTATCAATCAATATCAGACTTGCCAAAATCCTGACCACACTGCGCATCCTTAAGAAATGAAGTTTTGACGAGTATCAAAACAAAAAGTCACAAGGATGACGTTCAATTCAATGGATCATTCAAAATCTGAGTATGGAAGGGTTATACATAAGATTCTCGACTTTTCGG